ACACACACACACACACACACACACACACACACACACACACACACACACACATACACACACGCACGCACACACTTGCCGTGTTGTACAATTTCGAGTGCATATTGAGAGTTATTAGAGTGAGACGAACCACCGAATAGAGATTACCCTGTGCGCAAAAAGCTTTCCCATATAGGCACATAATTAACAAAAGCCTACTTCTTATTCAAAACGGTATCACAGAGTTGTGAATGAACAGTAATGTCGAATTTATTAGGAACACCCGCTAAAATAATCGAGAAAACATATAATTCAATATTCTTTTCTACTTTCGACAAAACACAAAACTTTTAAACCAGCGGAAAGCATAATGGTCTCAATATATGTCAATAATCAGTCTAACTAAACAAATGCACAAAAGGAAGGCTAACACAATACTAACATATTCTTTTTAATTGAACCTGAGATGGCATTACAACTAATTTGATTCAAAATTTGTCTGTCTTAAAAACTGGTCTAGGCTTGCACAGCCAGGCGTCAATGACATAATCACAATGACATAATCATGCCATGACCCGTTATCGATCGATAAAAAGTCGAGGGGGGAAAAACACGAATTTACTGCAGCATAGAGCATAGGGAGTTAGTAACTTAGTACCCCTTTCTGTTTTGACTTGTCCAGTACGTCCAGTTTTTTTGCTAGATAGTATCATCAGTGCTGAGTTGAGGTGAAAATATTGAGCTTGAAAACACAGGGGGGGTAGATACTAAGTCTATTTTAAGCTGTTAATCTGTTAGCTGCAAAACACAACATATTATTGATGATTGATACTATAATCAATGCTATAGAAACGAGGTATTGGCTTAGTATAGTCATTGTTCTCCAGGTGGATATTTCTTTAATACAGTCACTCCTCCCGATCACCCGCTTTTCTTCTGTCTTAGATGAGGAAACTTAAAACAGATTTTTAAAATTTAAACAAACACATTTTAAAGCCAAGATGCTCTAACAGGACAGAAACTGCTAGGGAAGCATCAACATCAGAACTGCACAGTTTATTTGCATTTTAGATCCAGTCACATATAAAATATGAATTTGTCATACGAATGTGCACATGCCATCTGATTTGTGCTGACGGGTGCATGTCACACTATCATCCAGATTGGCCAAGCCTAGGAACAGCACTAGGAGGGAGACGACAAGGCTGACAGAGGAAACGACGGAATGGACTGGAATAGCTAAATACGAAGAGTTGAGAACCGCGAGGAGTGAAGAAGCTGGTCGTAAAATCTACAGTGGCACCCCGGCGTTCATCCAGACTAGGAGATAGATGAAGATGAAGGTGCATCCCGTCAGCAAGCTGTTCGACTGTCTAAACCCAGAAAGCACATTTTTCCAGGAGAAAGAGAACATTCTTTCATTTTTATTTATTTCAAAAGAGTACCCAGTTTGTGTATCTTTTCTTGTATTTCTTTAAGAACCAGAATTTTTAATTTCACAACAACATTTCTGGAGCATAGAGTTATGAAACTGATACCACAGATGAAGAAACAAATTTGGCTGTTGTTATTTTTAAAATCTGAGGTTTGGGCTTACGCCATCTGAACCGCGGCCGATGAATACATAAATATGAGGGCCGTTTAAAGGATCACCTCTCTATAGTTCTCACCTTGAGTGGAGCGTCTACTGTGCTCTTGATGTCGGCGTCGAATTGAACATTGAGCGGGCCAGGGAAGGTGAGAGGGTCAGGGCTGAGGGTCAGGTCTTTCAGGTTGGCCAGGTCTGTGTTTGGGTCTCCACAGTTGGTGTACTTGAAGGCGCCGACACGGGAGGAGCGGCCCATCTGTGGTAGATAGATGCCACGGGA